GTTAAAACAAAAAGGCAAAAGAAAAAGATAAGACGGCAAAACCTAGTTCTTTTAAGAGGAAATTTTACTATCATGTGATTGAGTAGTTATACTAAAGATATTTATCGTATAAAGTACAAAAAACCCAATAATTGGTGTTAATTATATTTTATTCAAAAATTTCTCAAATTATAATAATCTCAGATTTATTAGAATTCGTGGATACATTGCTCCTTCGCCCAATACACAACAGACAATACATGAGTTATGTATGTATCTGATAAAAGTAGAGTGATGTATCCATAATGTTAAGAGAGAGAAGTAAAAAGAAGATTTTTGTAATTAAATTCAAATGATAAGAATTTTAAAAAAAATTGTTATCTTAAGTAGTGTAATTACGTAATTTAACCAAATGTTTCCTTCTTCTAATGACCATTGACCACCTTGTTAAGAAAGCGCACCAGGCCTTACCCCAAAGGCCCACTCAGGAATAACCCACTATCTGTTATTCATCCAACTAATGTCCCAGGATTTCTCCCCTCAAATTTGATCTTGACGTTTTTTTTAGATTTGGTTGAAAAGTGATTAATAAATGGTATTTTTCTATAGAAGAAGGTGAAAGGCTAATAATGATACATGGGAAACCTAAACCTTACTATTTTTTTATTTTTTGCTCTCTGACTTAAATTCACAATCTTCGAGTTGGAAGTGAGGTGCTTACCATCCTTACTAGCCATGTTATAAAGGGAATAGAGCGTGGGTTTTCTAGCAAATTGAGAGGGAAATAACGTTTAAAGAATAATGATAATGGTTGATTTAATCCCACTAGTTGACGTAAGGGATGTTTGGCTAAGTTAGGGAAATTAATTTATAAGCACTTACAAATTATATATAATATTTATATATTTGGTAAACATGCAAATTACCTCAAATTATTTGTCACAATTTTTTTCTTTTTGAGGCAAATTAGATAAGTTTTTAATCAAAAATTTATATTTTTTTCACCATATTAATATGAAAAAAATGTATCTTATATTTTTTTATATAGTTTTCAATATCTAAATTTTAATGTTAAAATATTAAATTAATCTAATTCAATATAATTCTAAAATTAATCTAATTCAATATAATTCTAAAATTAATCAAATTGATTCTCAAAATTAAGCATAACAAATTTTTTAAGAACCGGGTGATGTATAAGTTATAAATAGCACAAGTTGGTAACCCTCATGATTATGATAACTCCATGTTTATTTCATTTTCATCATTCGTTAGGTTGGTAACCCCCTCGTTTGTCCTCTTACTCATGGTCTTTTGTGATTTGCGTTGTTAGCTTCCACATGCACCTAATTATTTCGATCCTAACACGTTATTCTCCTAATATGCATATATTATTTTGTAAATAGCTTTAACAATATATAAGTAATTTTGATAGAAATAACTTATCACTAAACATATCAATCTTTTATTACCCCCTATGTCCCTAATTATTTGGTCATTTTTGAATTGACGCACCTATTAAGAAAACAATGATTAACATAGTGAGTTTACCATTTACCCCTATTAATTATGAAGTGGATGAATTAGTTATCCTGAGGTTAGCAATCTTGTGATAACTTATCCCGCCATGTATATGGGATAACTTATCCCGTCACTATGATATAAATGGTGGAATAAGTTATCCCAAACATGGCAACCAAACAAGATACACAAATTTTATCTCTTCATTATTTTCTTATCCCATCACTATTTATTTTTAACTCTCACACCAAACGACCCCTAAGAGTTTCAAGAAGTTCTACCTTTTTCAAAGTGATTAATTGAGGGTATAATAGGTAAAAATAATTTGTCATTTCTTGATTTGTCAAAATGGACAAGTGATTAGTGACAACTAAAAAGGAAAAGTGGACAAGTAATTAGGACGGAGGGAGAATCAGTTTCAGTACTTCAATCCAAATTGAATTCCTACTTCCTTGCCATGGGTATCTTTTAGGGGTTTGGCATTTACTAGGCACTTCATAAGGACAAGACAACAATTTTTGGCCATCAATTAAATAAGGCAAAAAGCCAAAAAAGCAACTTGAATCTTCACAACAAATGGCTAATGATAATGAATGTTGATGATGTGATGATTAAATGCTTTGACATTGATGCGTAGCGTGGGGTGCTATGAGTGTTTATAGACTTTGAATTTCTCTCACCGAATTCAAAATCCTAATCATACATCAATTAACAAATGAGAAAAATAAAGCTTGCTTAGTTTACTATTTTTTCCATTTCCGAATACTTATCATATGAAGCGAAACATGACAATTGTAACAAATATTTGAGACGGAAGAAGTAATAATTGAGCTGAGTGGGATGGTGGGCTTGAATTTTTCACCTATTGACTTCTTCTATACTTTGACATAAATAAACATTAGAAAGATGAAAATAAATTAAGTTGCCATGATTGAAAGGAACACGCAAATTTCTACGTAACGTTGATGGTGACGAGGCCCAATTGGCTATGGCTTTAGTGACTTTTGATTAATGGAAAAGTCCACATGCATTTGAATACTCCTCCCAACAAATGTTGTAGGCCACCTCTTAATTGGCATTTTTTTTAATCTAGTGATGTGGACATGTGAATAATCGGAAAGGATTAAAAATAGTACAAAAGATAGCATCATTATCTTGTAAAATTGAAACCAAATTAACATAGTTTTCTCCTTAATTAACATTTAGCAATCAAACAGGATGTGCGTGTCTATTTGTTCAATTTTATATAAGTTTAAGTATCTATTTATATTCATAGAAAATTAAAGAACATAATGTCAATCGAAACCAAATTAAATGGCACATTTTTGTATATTTTGCCAATTAATAAAGTTGGAATTCTAAGAATTTTGTTTCAATAACACTATTAAATGGTGAAGTAGCTAGAACCCATAAATTGGATAGACGGGAAATTAATATGTTGAGCCTTACATAGCTAATTTACCAAACCCTATGGCCTATGGTCTCATAGTCATTCTGTTTTAAGTACAATTAAGTGTGTTGACTTTCCCAATAATATTTTTCCTCTTTATTGTAGATCATTTAAACTTTCATTTTAATTTTTCATTTTGTAATTTTTTCCTCTAACCCTCAATTTTTTCTTAAAATAATTAAACTATTTCAGATAAATAATGACTGAATTGAAAAATTAGTAATAAATAAATGACACTCTATAATTGAATTGCTAAAAGATTAGATCTTTTCGATAATGACTCCGGATTATAATCTACAAGAACAATAATAAATACCTTCCCACAAAAAGGTTCTTATTAGGATAGAGAATGATGGTAAATACACAATCTTATTCCTATATTATAAAAGTTGAAAGATTATTTTCAGCACATCCATAAAACATATTTGGAATATAATCAAATAGATTGAAATTTATTTCTTGAGTACATTTAAGAATAGGCTGATTTTACAAATTATTAGCCACAAATGTAACCAATAGAAAACAACAACCATGTCGATAATGCAAACAATCGAAGGAATTATTACACTTTTACCCAAATGTAGCCGTGTTTTGCAAATTTCTACAATTTGACCAAAATCATTTAGGCCATGAAGAAAAATATAAGGACAACAAAAAAAATCATTAAAAAAATGAAGAAACAGACAATTTGGCAGAAGCGCAGAGGTATATTATTTTTCAGATTCCTATAGTCACAGACTTTTATTTTCATTTATTAATTTATTGATATCAAATAGTCACAGAGTTACGGTCAAAACGAAACCAGTGAGTCAGATTTTTTTTTTGTAAATTGAAGTATTAAACAAAGCTTGAATTCATAATTTAATGTAAAATAAAAATAAAAAAAATTGATCAACACATGCCTTATTAAGTATCATTAATTAGGTAAAAGAAATAATGCTCAATAAAAAATTACATCTAATAAATTCATTACGCGGGGAGTTGCCGAACGGCCGACTACCTTCAACCGCCCGTGAGCTAATCATAAAGTTTAATTTTGAAACATGAATAAATAATTTACATCTGAAAAAAGAAATAAAAAAAATTACACTTCGTAAATCACTTTAAAAAATTATCTTATACTAGTAAGTATGGATAAAAAACAAAAAAATAAATAAAGTGAGTAACAACAAATAAAAATATATTAATTCTAATGGTAAAGACAATTATTTAGATACATTTTTGTTATCATGGAAAATTTTTATTATTTATAATATAACATATTATGCAAATTATTTCAAAGATAACTTGGCCATTATTGTAAAATATTGTTACTATGGATGACTAGTATAAAAATTTCTAGCTATACACAAGGGCGGAGCTAGATGAGTTCTGGGTTCAGACGAGTCCAGTAACTTTTTCGTAGATCCTATATTTTTACTAGAAACTTAAGTAATAACTTGTGAACCCTTAACAAAATTGATTGACAACTCAATGTTAAGGAAGGAGAAGGAAATTTAGAACCTCCAAAATTTTAATATTGACTTCGCCTCGGACTATACACAAATTTCAATATCTATAAAAAAAAATTAGTATTATATTATATCACCTAGAAGTATTTATGAATCTTGCAAATAAGGTTACCTTATCGCGAGTTTGAAACAAATAAAACTTAAAGATTATTTGATTAAGAAAAAAGTACACTAATCTTATACTTCATTCGTTTCAAATTTCAATTTATGTGAGATAATTTAATTTGACATGAAATTTAAGAAAAATAATAAAGACTTTTGAAATTTGTGATAATAAATATTTGTATAACTATAAATTATTTTATTAAAAATAAATATATCTATACTAATCGTGTACTTAACTTATCTATAGAAATGATTTGATTCGCGATTTAAGTTATTCCAAAAATATATTTATACTTTATTTGTGATGGAATGTATAAATTTATTCTTATCTTATCTGATATTCCATAAACCAAATTATAGTGAATGAAAAATCTTAATTAGCTAACCATTTACTACTTTTATAACATTGGTCCCATTCCCATCTCGTCCATTCTATAAATACGGCACTGGTACACAAACATGTGAGGAAAAGTCCATCCACAATAGCCCGGGCCTCCATACTTGTTCTCATACCAAGAAAGATCTACACTGCACCACTATAGAACAACAAGCAAAATTCTGTTGCCCTCTTCAATTTTGATCATTCTCTGTATACGATGGCTGGATTACAGAGATCTGCGACGTCGTTCCGGCGACAAGGCTCATCAGGATTAGTATGGGATGACAAATTAGTGACAGCATCAGGTGAATTGATTCAGCTTGGAAATCCACGAGGAGAAACTACTATTAAAACTGATAGACAAGGAGAAGAAAAGCCTAAATTGGAAGTGTCGGTGCCTGATAAGGCTTCATCAAAAACGGCTGGATCCATGGAGAGGAGCCGATCTAATCGCGGTTTCCGAACTGGTAAGGTGTCGCCGGCAATTGAACCGCCGTCTCCTAAAGTATCTGCATGTGGATTCTGTAGCGCTTTTGCAAAGAATGATAAATCTAACCGTCGACCTAAATCCGGCAAGCGTAAGATGTAATATTATTATTCCGGTGAAAAAGGGATTAGGTCAGAATTGGATGGCGCAAGTAACGTTCATCTCGATAAGGATGAGGTGTGAGAATTTTGGTGCTAGATGACAACTGTACTACTTGTTTTATGCATTTTTGGCGTTTTCTCTGCCAGATTTGTTCTTCTTTAGGTTCGCAGGGGACAATTTCTTCCAGTGTCTTACTTTTTCTGATTGCCTGGATAATCGATGTGCATAAGCTTTAGCTTTTTTCCTTTTTCGTTAAGCCGCAATGAATCATTTCTCGTTGTACAAAGTTGAATCTGAAATTGGGGCCATCTCTTGCTTTATCTTCTGGTTATGTGAATTGAGTATATCTCATGTTTTATCTTCTGTATACAAGTATGCTTATTGTATACACTATTTCTCTCTCCCCATATATTATACTATGTATACGTTACTCCTCCCTTCATTGAGTTCTGATTTTCATTTTTGGGAGCTTGTTGATTCTGTCTTGCTGAAAATTGAATTAAAAAATTACTGTATTTGTTTTTGAAGATTTGACACCGAATTTAGATGATATTCAGTTTGGAACTCCTCATTAGGTAGACCAAATTTTACCAAATCAATACACATTCCTAATATGATGAAAATAGTCGAAAACTGGTAAGAAATTAAAGGGGAACTTGCCATTACTAGCATACAATCACTACTCTACTCTGTCTTTGTTGATCGATTACTATTACACCGAATATATTATTGTTGTTGACTAGTTGTTAGTACACCTATATTGGGGATAAGAAAGGTAACAGAACCACAACCCGTTCAAGGTTAGTAACGGAAATTGAAAATCACGAGGTCTTCAATTTAATTTTTTTCAGAGGCAAAGAAAAAACTAAATAATTTCTTCCTCTGTATTGAAGTTGATGGTTAGGTAGCAATTATCCTATACAGTTAATTAAAATATGTTCAAGCTAACTAGAGTTTTACTGTCATAAAAACACTAGAGCTTTTTCCCGAAGATGCCGCAATTGTGAAAGACGTTTTCCTACCCCTTTGCGGCAAAATCACATGCCACATGCTGATGCTACACCAACTAAAAAAGAAGAAAAAAAATAAATACTTGATTGCATGAAAACAGTACACCAATGTGTGTCTGTTATATAGGTTTATACTTTCTTAATCATAGTATATTTTATTTTAATTTGTATGTTTACATCAATTTATAACTTAATTAGCAGCATGATTTGGTACACGTTACGGATTTGAGACTACTCTATGCTGTCCTCTCGTTAACCTCATCGTGTTAATGTATGATTCACTAATCAATCTATTATTACGTCCTCCTATGTTAAGCTCAACATTTCTCACATGTTGCGTCGGACACTTAGCCGACAGACTGTTCCAACAGAACCGTGAATAATGATTAGAACAATTCCTACCTCCAACAAGTTCTTCCTCTATTTCATTTTATATGACTTTCTTTTTCTTTTGATCCGCCTCATAAAAAATATTAGTATCTTATAATAATCAGAAATAATTAATTTTAAAATTTTACGTTTACTCTTAATGAAATGACAAACACACAAATATCTAAATATTATGTTAGACCGCATATTTCAAAACAAAATTCTTTCATAAAAATTGTGTCAAGTCAAACAAACAATGCGCATAAAATAGGAGAGAAGGAGTAATAAATAAAGAGATATACGAATGAACATAGGAGAATAATTTTATTAAAAAATACTAGTAATAATTTTAGAACTCTTTTTTCCTTTTTTCTTTAAAGAGTATCTATCATATCCCTGCTTGATAAAAAAAAACAGGAGCATGTGTCGAACTCACGCATGGGACACTTTATCTTTACTCCCTCTGTCCCTAATTACTTATCTACTTTTGAATTGACACATATATTAAGAAAATAATTAATGATATAGTGAGTTTACCATTTTACTCTTATTAATTATGAAGTGGATGAAAAGTTCTATAATTTTCAAAGTAATTAGTCATTTAATTGATGGTATAATAGGTAAAAAAAATTGTCCTTTCTTGATTTGTCAAAATGAATAAGTAATTAAGAACAATTATAAAAGGAAAAGTGAACAAATAATTAGAGACAAGGGAGTATTTAATTAATAAATCATTGCATATATATGCCTTGAGAGAAACATTTCCTTCAGCCGATAACTTGGAATGGAGGTGGACGGACCCGACCAATTCACGAACATGAAACTGCAGAGAAAGTCTCAAAACATCCTCATCATTGGGATTTTAAATATAGCAGCCACAAAATAGATGGCTAACATTCATGAATTTGACCCACACATTATTTGTTTTTTGTGGGCCTATTGGTCCTGCAGTTGAAGTCCTACTTTGGTCTCATCATAATTTATTTTCCATCTGTTTGGTATGCAATTTTTGTTACGCGTATTGGCAAGTCGGCAGTCATCCGACCTTTACAACTACTAGCAAAATTCCATTGACGGATACTAATTGGATATAACAATTTTAATGAAGAATAATTAACAATTCTTTTAATTTCTGTGGTCAATAAATTGGTGAAAAGATGAATGGTCAAGCAGGACGTCATTCTGCAACAGAAAGAAAATCATGCCAAATACAATAAGCATTCAACAAAAAGTGTAAAGTATGAATTTCATATAATTTTGTTTAGCAATGTCAACCAACTTAAGCAATAAACTAATAAAAGCATCATTTTGATCCATAGGCTCAGAGAGGTGTAAGAATTTATTTGAGCTAAAAGACAAATGTATTATATTTGCTTTGCTTTGTTCTGTCAGATTTTATTCCTTCGGTTCTAGAGGGGATAGTTTATTTAGGTCTCTTGCTTTTCTTGGACGCTGGGTAATCCTTATGTACGAACTGTATTACTTTTCTTTTTTTAAGAAAAGATTTTTTTTCCCCATCTTTTTGAGCTGCTTAGAATCAATTTTCAATGTGCGAAGATCGAATCTGAATTTTAGAATATTTTTGCTTTATCTTATTATATATGTTATGTTTAATTTGTTTCCCCCAACCCAATTTGCACACTTTTCCATTTCGTGGGTACATTTTTGGTTTGATTTTCATTTAAGTGACTTGTTGAAAATTGAATTAGTTAGCTCGTGAGAGAAGGATTGTCAAATACCATATAAGTAGACCAAGGACCTTTGAATCCATTGATAGGACTCCAACACTGCACGCCCAATAAAAGACGGGCCCCAACATAAAAGACAATAGAGAATTGGGTGGACCTGGCCGTGATACCATGATAACGAAGTGAATATTGTGTTTAACTTAACTTCAAAAGCTAGCTCATGAGGGAAAGATTGTCCTACATCATATAAGGTGACCAAGGACCTTTGAATCATGGATGTGAAACTACAACAAGTTGAGACCAAATTTAGACACCAGAAAGAATACTTTTGGGTGTATCCTTAGGTGAATTATATTTCACCAAACCTATAAGTACATTCCTTGGCAGTTGACAGGATCAATCTCAAGAAGTGAAGTTAGCATAAGAAAAAAAAAGTCAAGATCAGTAAGAAAGGGAGACTTCATCAATATATAGCATACAATCACTGCTCTATTATTCTCTCAGCCCTGCTTTGATTTCTTTTTTTTTGAGTCGAGAGTGTATCAGAATTCAAAACAAACCTCTCTACCTTACAAAAGTAATTAAGGGTGAGTCTGGATACTTACTAACCCTAGACTCCATTTATGCGATAACACTAGGTATGTACCTGTGGTGTGTGGGGTAAAGAGATAATTTTATGGCCCACATTTGTTTGTAAAAGACAGGGGAGACCAAAGAGTGCTGCAAGTATGAAACATTAAATTCCTGTACCCAATCTGTGTCATCACATGCTACACAAACAAAATTGCACGCAGCCCTCTTGTTTCCTATATATTTATTATCTATGTTCTTAGAAGAACCATTGGATGCTGAGAACATTTCATAGCAAAGAAACATCCTGTTTTCAAAGTAGATAGCATGTTTCAATCACAAGCATGGGAATGCGTACCTCTTTAATACTTTTTTTTGCCTCATGTGTACCTTCTGTATAAAAACATACAAACATGGAATGGAGCTCTTGTTATTCATTGACAATTCGTGAACATGAAAGTGCTGTGAATATCTCAACTTCACATATTCCTCCAAGATCTAACATGTAGGACTGATGGCTGACATGCATATTTATATATTGGGGCCGCAAAGACATTTCCATATCAGGCAGTATGTTCCCCCATTGAAGACCTTACCTGATCTCATCATATCAATCCATCGTTATTCACTGTCCTTCATTTGTTTGACATCCAAATCTGGTTTGCATACTCACCAGTTAACTTGGTCATCTTAATTAATCACCATTGTTGCATTTGAACGGTGTGATTTGAATGTTTTCAGTTGCTCTTCAATCAGCTGAGATTTAAGTGCTGCTACAAGGCTAGGGCGTGTCTCTGAATTCCGAACAACACATGCATGAATTGCACAACATCCAAACAGGGCCGTCTTAACCTCTAGGCCACTAAGGCCATTGCTTGGGACCCCATATATTTTGGGGGCCCCATTTTTTAAAAACAATTACTTATATATGTTATTTAAAAAAAAATTATATGTACTATGAGTGTTATTATTTATACTAAAGAAATTGCATATGAGATGAAAATAAACTTGAATTTCGTAAGAAACAATTTTATGAAAATATGGATAGCGAAAATCACAAAAGTCCCTTGAAGAGTTTTAGAGTTAATTGCTTTATATATGTAGAGTAGATCAAACTATTTTTTCACTTCAAAATAGATTTGAACCAATTGAAGCATATGGAAATATTTTTGATTACTTATTTAGTGGTAAAATATTGAGATCACTAGATGATGAGAATTTTAAAAAAATATTGTCTTAACGTTGAATTTTCTTTAACATGTAATAGTTATTCTGATATTGACGGTTTAGATTTTTTTTTTTGAATTAAAAGTGTTAAGGGAAATAATACAAGTAGAAGATAATGATCTAATGAAAATACTCAATCTAATAAAAAGACTTGATTCTTTTCCAAATACACATATCGCTTATAGAATAATGTTAACAGTTCATGTAACCGTTGCCTCAGCCGAAAGAAGTTTTTTCGAAATAAAAATTTGGTTAAATATTCTTTAAGATCAACAATGTCTCAAGAGAGATTGAATGAATTAGCTATATTATCATTTGAAATGGAATCATTAAAACAAATTGATTATAAAACAGTACCTAATGACTTCGCATCTAAAATAGCTAGAAAAATAGATTTTAAATAAAAGTATATATGATGAAAAAAATTAAATATTAGGGCCAATCTCTTAAGTTTCGCTTTAGGCCCCCAATATTGTTGAGTCGGCTCTGCATCCAAATACATAGAAAAATCCATTATGACAGAATTTAACTAAGCTGTGATCAAA